ATTCGGCAATTGATAAACTTTGAAAGAGTTATGCGTAGAAAAATAAAGCCAACCTATTGCGCCAAGATGGTATATCTTAGATTGGAAGGTTTAAAAATCTCAGATGCATTGATTAGTGCGATTCTACGCTTATGTCCAGATATACGCTTTCTTATTCTTTATAAAAGTAAGGGTTTCACTAATATACCAATTATAGAAATTGCAAGATTTTCTCCAAAACTACAGCATCTGAGTCTTAATTCATGTATATGTCTCACTAATCGATATATCACTGAAATTACTCACTCATGCTCAAAACTTAGACATCTTGAGCTTGGTGATTGCTCGATTGGTAATAAAGCTATCGAGAAGATAGCCAGCAACTGTACTAATTTGAAATATCTTAGTTTGAAGAGGTGTAGAAGGATTAGTAATGAAGTGCTGAAAAAACTCAATCTGAAAATTAAAATCGAACATCCAGATTATTCCGATAATGAATTCTCCGATTCTGATTTACCTCCACTTATTCCAATCTTTACCGGTAGACAAAATGGGATAGCTATAACCAGGTCCTTTAGAGACTACTATTTGAGTTATACATCAGATGAAACAGATCTTATTTCTGCAATTGTTAATTATCTCAAAGAGAATCCTCCAACGCGAGTTATAAATAATTACATTTATTACTGAAGAATGGGTAATTATTTACTGAGTTATTTTTTCGCGGTAATATACATTATTAAATATACTTAATATGTTCGTAAATACACTCATAGAGAGAGAAAATCTCAGTAAAAGCATTAATTGATACATCATCAAAGTTTAATACCATTAGCAAGAGCTTGTTCGATAAGCTTAAAGAAGATTATGGAATATGTGATCCTGTTGAGAATCTCTATAGGGATGTAATAGGTGAAATAAAATGTTTAGATTTGCAATTTTGCTATAAAGGAAAGTGGCGAAGTTTAGATGGTACCGAAGTAATAGACTTTCAAATTCGCAAAAATCCATCGTTCGATTTGGTTCTGGGACAAGAATGGTTATGGATGCGTGAAGCAAAAATAAGCTTTGGATATTCTTCCAAAACCTGTGTCCACCATGCTAAAATTGTAATTGATGGTATGAGTATCTCATTAATCGAAGAAAATAGTAATAAAGCCAGCTCTAGTAAAAATAACTTATCTCATTTTGAAACAGAAATCGATAAACCTGATCTAAATTTAGAAAAGTTTATAGATATGTTTAAGAAATTATTTATAGAGACTAATTTATCCAGTTCCGATTCAGAATCCACAGGTTCAGACTGGTACGATCTTGATCTAAAAAAACCCCGAAAGAAATGCATCCATAATACAAAGAAAAAGGTTATCTCTCCTAGCCGAAAACATTGTAGAAATAAGCCAATTAGAACAAAGTAATCTTTAATCCAGAAAATTATTATGGGTGGAATCAACATAGAAGTATTTCAGAGAAATGGCATATTACTGCACTACATTACTGCATCCTGGTGAGATGGTGTTCTGCCTCGGCAACTAGAAAAAATAAACACTGCACTGCATTACTGCACAAAGTGGACTGATCATTGAATAAATATTTAAACCTGCCCACATCGGGCTTAATAACATGTGTTTGTTAGAATTATTTCGCATACGTATAAATTTATCTGTATTACCTTGCAAAGCTTATCGTTATGCATAACTTATTTGTGAGATGGATCACAAGTAGAAATTGCCATTTTTCAATTTTCTGGAATTAGTACCTAACCAAAGTCGGTCAATTAACTCATGCCACATATCGATATGTTCTGAATTTATTTGTGGGTGAAGGCGCAATTGCCACATATTATTGACCACGTTATATTTTTTCTGTTAATGTATAACAATGAAAAAATATCTGAATAACATACTCATACGTAAAGATAAACAAAATTATATCAAAAAGTGGCATATCTTTAGAGAATGGAAGCATGGGTGTAAAGTTTGTGACGAATGCAATCACCATTCTCATCTATATTGCAAAACATGCAAAAAAGTAGCGAATGGAATATATAAGCGGTGTGAATGCGATAACGTGATAGAATAAATTTCACATATATATAAATTTATCTGTACTATAATACCTTACAAGGCTTAACATTATGCATAACTTATGTGGAATGAGTTTTTCTCGAAATAGTACTCTAACCCAAATTCAGTCAACAATCTCATGACACATACGTTATCTGTGCAACCAAATCTTTATACGATGTTCATAGAAAAAATAATACCCAAGCTTTAGATCTACTCCAAAGCCGGTACAAAAATTTATTTCTTCTTCTAAGAAAATACATACGTACTTCTTTTTATAGTTTTGGTTTATACTAAAGGCTCTACTAGGTGGTCAGGCGAAGTATAATACATAGCGATCTTTCTCTACGCCGTAATGCCGAAGATGTCGAGATCTCCATTGCACATTTCGCATGTCTAGGGGTACCCTGTGACAAACGTAATGTAATGTCGAATGTAAAGATTGGCGTAAAGTGCATATGAGGCTTTTTTCTTTGTTGTCTTCCTCTTTACACTACCATTCAGAGATGAATGAAACTATTTATAAAGGGCAGTATAATGAAGACATTGTTATTGATCGCTTTTTAGTGATTCTGTTTTATTTTTTCGTCGCCTTCGATTAATATTTTTTAAAAAACAAAAATGATTTTTGACGTTGAAGAATTTCTTCATATTGAAGGGGAGACTGTCGCTCTTGCTGTAGTAATCGTAGAATCGTCCTATATAAAAGGATTAATATTCGAAGTGGATCTTGTTGAAATGTTAAAGAGCATTGGTGCTAAAGTTATCCATAAAGGGTGAGTTTCTTATTGAGTTATTTGTCGAGTTGTTGTGTATTCGAAGTTATGCTGTCACATCGGTGTAAATATCTAGTAAGAAATTGAAAGCACATTGTGGCCACTGTTTTAGTAGTGAACGTTCTTTCTTTCTAGTTTCCGGTGTTTTCCGAGATGCCTAGGTACTGGGAATTCATGATGAATAGGATACACTCTAACGTAGAAAGCACTGTCGTTGACTATTCCGCCTGTGCAATTTCTTTGATTAGTTGATGATTATGACGCAAGTATTCACATTTTATTTTAATTTAGGAGATTGGGCGATGGTGGCATCGATATTATATGTGAAATTGCCATGACACAATTTATTATCCAATGTAAAAATTGGATCAGACTTGATATAGGTATTATTTTATTAAATCAGATATTTGAGCCTGTCATCTCGCAATACTTACTCGAAGCCAGATATAGTTAGTTAACAAATTTTTAACCAAATATATTTACAGGTCGCCCGGTTGTAGATGAGTTGCTTGGTGTGCTTACTCGAACCAAGCAACCAAAAGGGACCATTGGTATAATAGTGGGCCCCTCTATGGATAGCTTTACTCCTGGTGCAATAGATGCGGCACTAGAGATAGCAGAACCACCAGAACTATTAGAACAACTATCTACGTATCCTATCATTGTGACAGATGTAGATCGATTGCCCAAATATTTGATCAATGCGGTTCTTGATAAGTTGCATAATGAACCTTATACCTTCTCCCTCTTACCATGAATTTGTTTAATCTATTGTATATATTTTTTTTACTTATCATATCAATAAAGCTGGCCCTGGTGGCTGAATTCGCATAAATAATCGCGTTTACTTTTGTATGTGTATTTTGTGAATTTATTCCGCCTTCTCGCAATTCTTGCTCGAAGCCAGAGAGTAAGTGAACCCTGAGTTGATCACTATATATCTTTTTTCAAGCTCGCGAGAAAAAAAAATATGATCGCGAATTTTTCTTAGTAAAAGTGATCAGCGTGCCAAATTGTCATGCGCACATAATTTTTTTATTTGAAATTAAAAGTATTAACTATCAAGAAAAAATATTTTTCAAAACGTGTACAGTAAAATTCTTTTCCCAACCATTTCTAAAATTATATAAATTAATATTAAACATGCAAACTCAAAAAGGCGAATCTAAAGACTTATCCGAGGTTGATTCATTAAAATTGGAAAATATTAGACTTATGACTAGGATCGCAGAATTAGAGCAAATAGTAAAAGAAAAAAATGCGTTTGAGACTAAGCTAAAACAGATTATAGAAGAAAATGCTGAGAAAGCAAAGTTAAGAGATGCCGAGCTCAATGCAAGAATCATGGAACTAGAACGGTCAGCAAAAGAAAATGAAGAGCGATTTGTAAAATTGGAGCAGAAGCAAAACAATGCTGTAGATAGATTAGAAAATGGCGATAATTCGTATGAAAATGATAATATATCTAACCTTGTTATAAAATCGTTAGAGGATATTACTCCTTCATCTAATATAACTGATGATGCTTTAAGTTCTGATGTATA